TTTGAGACTATCAAATTGGGTCATACTGAATCAACATGCACAAAGCTTTAAACTGAACAGTTTATTAATCTTGTGGTTATCAAGTTGAGAAAATAGGAACAGAATCGAGTTCGGGTTCTGTCGTAGAAACGGGCGTTCCACAAGATTCTATTCTTGGCCCATTTTTGTTTTTATTATATATTACCTGGAATTTAAATAGCGCTGCCTTAGTTGTGTAGTGTGGTATGCGACTGCAGTCCATGAGAACTCGGAACTCGAGAATTTTTTTATAGACTTTTTCTGAGAGGAAAAATAGCTTGAGTTACTCCTTATATAAACAGCTGCCTAGTAGTACAATATTATCAAAATTGGTTCAGCCGTTTCGAAGTTTACTTAACAAAACAGACAGACAGACAAACAATATGTAAACTGTTTTTTAGGCATAGTTATTGTGCAATAACCATGTGAACATGAAAAAAAAACTATTATTTTGACACTACAAAAAGAGCTTTCAATTTGATTTATTTGTATAGATTACCCTTACCTCACCCTATCAAGGACAATCACTAGGTTATGTTGTTTGCAGATGATACGTTACAATTATTTAGACTGCAACATACACTTACTAATTTCACAGACGTAAACAGAGCCATTTCGAAAGCGATTCATTGATTTGATGTTAATATCTTATTTGTTATTATCTTATATGTTAATAATTTGCTTTTGAATGAACAAAGCTAAGTATATGCGATTCACCACGCCAAACTTCAAACGAGTGAAAAGCACTGTGATCATTAATGTTTTTTTTATGGTATAAGGGGGCAAACGAGCAGACGGGTCACCTGATGGTAAGCAACTACCGCCGCCCATGGACACCTGCAACTCAAAAGTCATAAGTGCGTTGCTGCCTTGCGTTGCGCTCGAGTCAGCGGGAGGGGGGATTTGGGCTCCGGTAACCTCACTCACTCAGTGAAAAGCAACAAAAGAATTGCTTAACACCGGTTTTCTGTGAGGCCGTGGTATCACTCCTATCGAGCCGGCCCATTCGTGCCGAAGCATTTGCCGATACTACAACATTTATAATAAAATCCCAAATAGTATAGAACCCTTAAGTATAAACCAATTTAAATCCATAATGAAACGTGAACTATGTCAGAAAGCCTATTACTCAATTGTGAATTACATAAAAGACAAGAATCCTTGGGATAAATTTAGCACAGGCTGTTTCGCAGTGGACAAGGGGTGTGGGCTAGTGTGTTTTTTATTTTTTTTTTCATTTTTAGGGTTCCGTACCTCAAAAGGAAAAAAAACGGAACCTTTATGGGATCACTTTGTTGCCCGTCTGTCTGTCAAGACCCTTTATCTCGGGAAGGGTCGCGTGAAGGTATCGAGTTGAAATTCAAACTATATACTCAGATCTACGGCCCCTTGAAGCTGTAAAATAATGAAACTCCTAACTTAACGTAAAAAAAAGACGAAGAACACACCTCTGCACTGCTTATTCCTAGACATGCAGAAGAGCTTTGACTGTGTTCATCGTGTGATGATCTGGTGGGCACTACGGTCCAAAGGGGTTCCAGAGACTTATATTGTTTTGCAGCAAATAGTTATATTACATTATAAAATCATATTTGATTTTCATTCACTTATGCCAGACCATGCCGGGTTTTCCGACGGAACGATATGTCAGTCAATTAAACGCGACTTATAAATAAAATTTTAATAATATTCGGCCTACTTAATGGATGTTTCTCCAAAAGCTGCAGTGTTATATTCATTAGCGGGCGCACGCTGCGCACCGGTCATTAGTGTACTACAGTGCGCTCTATCTGTGAGTTTTGTCTCGTGCCTATTTTTTTTTCATTCAATTACAAGCCAACTAATTGACAAATCACACTGAGGAGAATAAATTATAAATGAACGTATGTTTCCTTTTTCTAAATAAATGTATCTAATAGCTTTGACAAATTAAATATATTTGTTTTAGACTGATGAGATAAATAAATTTCACATTAGTTTTAATGGTTCTGCGAACTGGTAGCAACAAGCTACGAAATGAAACCCTATTTAATACACCATACCGCAAGAACAGTATAGAGTTGGAGTCATCGTATTAATGCTGGTAGCTCGTAGTATTCGAATCGTAAATGTTACATAATCGCTTATAATAAGAGTCCTTTTATTGAAGTCACTATCCAAAATATGAATAGAAATATCCTTCCTGCTTTTTTTCCTACATTGATGTGAAATGTTTTCTGCACCTTTGACAACGTGTGTGCAACATTTCATTATGATTGGTTTATTAGTTAAGACCGGTGTGTGTAACAAACACAAAACAGAAATGCAAATAAATAGTCACTTTCACTTTTCTAACATTAGCTAAGATTCAACTTATTGACTGTCTCGGTGGCGCAGTGGTAGCGTATGCGAATGTTGTCCTTAAGGTCTCGGGTTCGATTACCGGGTTGAACCAAATGTTTGTATGATCTGCAAATATTTTTGTTTGGAGTCTGGGTGTTTTCTATGTATAATATAAATGTATTTACAAAACAAAAGTATATAAGTATTCTATCAGTCAATCTAACTTTCATAGTACAAGCTCTGCTCAATTTGAAACTAGATGGCGTTGTGTGTTAAATGTCCAAAATATTAAATATTATTACAATACTTGTAGGTATGTATCTAACCATGATGCATTTGACTATTCAAAATTACAATCATATTTACTGAAATCAAATTTAATTTTCATGGACATTTTTACTTTATAGCGTGCTTTTCTCATTCTCTTTTCCCTAAAAAACTTGAAACTTTATAAATAAACTTTCTCCTAAGTGCTGCTCTTGTCAAAGAACATAAAGTAGAATTAAAACTAAACGTCAAATTCGAAAACAAAAATTAGTTGAGGCTCCAAAGCACACTCAGCTACAAATTCAGCTGATTAAGTAAATGTATATGTGAACTAGTAATTCCAATTTATTCTCATCAGCTTTCACAGAGGACGAAGTACAACTTCATGCTACCTGTATTCACTGCTTCCTAATTCAAGATTTTTGGGATGTCACTTGTGATATTATCCCGCCTCTATGATTATGATTGACTATATGTGTAGAAGGTACTGAATTTTTTAAAGCGGTTTGACTTTAGAGGCATGCAATTTACTGCTCCGATAAGTGGCCCCCCATCCCCCTCCTATCACCTCCATTATCCTACTGATATCCTCATAAAGATAGTTTTCATAAAAAATGCTTGAGCTGAGCCTTACAATAAATAATTAGGAATGTTAACTATCCAACAGGTTTGATGGGAAATGTTTCGAGGAGGTATCCTCGGACTTATAAAGATTTACGTTTTGTAAAGATATAATTTATTTTTTAATAAAGATTTAATACTTTATCTTTCCACCTACCGCATCATATTTCTACATCACCTGAAAGTTGACTGGGACAGAATGCCCCATGGCATTAAGTCCACCTTTGTACAACATGTGCATTAAGTTTTAAATAAAAAGTAATATAAATATAATGTCTTTATATATAGTCATCTTTTACATTAAAATCTACATGTAAAAAAGTATAAGTTTAATACATTTGAAATTGAAACGAAAAGAATAAAATCAAACAATCTATGTGAAAGTTAAACTGAAATATCGGTTTCACCTGTATCATCATTCTCTTTTGTATTGCCAAAATGAAAAAGTACCTTTATTATATTACCTAAAATTCTAGTCATTAAACTTAGGTATATTATGGTAATTAAACTAAAAAGCCAGTTAAAAAAAAAAAAGCTGTGTAGTGTCACGAAATATTTATAGAAAGTAGTTACCACTTCTCTTAATAAACATTTCTATAGCATATCAAATGTTAAGTATTAAAAGTGATAAGTGTAGGACACTTATCACTTTTAATACTTAACATTTGAGTGTTTATGTATATCTATTTTTTGACTTCACAACATTCCAACGGGTGTAGATTTTCTACAGTACGGGCTTTTACTTTATGTTTCCAACAAAGAACTGGTGCAGAGCTCAGAAATATTCAATTAAAACACTAGAAATAATCCTAAGATATAATAATATCTATGGCAATATCGGTATTGTACAATATTTTGACTGATTAATGAAAGAAAATGCCTTGGATAATTTTAGATAGTCAGTTCTTCGTGATCCTAAAAATCTAGTGATATTTTCAGGCTCCTGGTATCGGTTCAAAATATTTAAACTTATCGTCTTGAATGTCTATAACTCACTTGTTTTACAAACCAACTACTCCTTTGTTACTATTTACACTATAAGTTGAAAAAAACAATGGTTACAAGTTGAAAACGTATGATAATAACAAAAAATCTAGAAACTTTACCTACAATTGAAAGAACCTATAACATATCATTTAGAAAGAGAGAAAAAAAAACTTAATTGCGTATTTTCAACAATGTAACAAAAGTAATAATTGTTCATAGTGCAACTTAGTCTGTTTTTTTTTTGTTGTTCTTAGTAGTTCATACTTATAAAATTCATGGTTGAATATGCCTTCTTTTCAAAACTTTAACCAAATACACTTTAAATTAAGAATAAATAATTTTATTCTCAAATCATAAAAGATAATTTAAATATGGTTACTACATACATGTAAAACAAAGTAACACAAACATTTCCTTCTTATCTATACTAATATTATAAAGCTGAAGAGTTTGTTTGTTTGTTTGTTTGTTTGTTTGAACGCGCTAATCTCAGGAACTACTGGTCCGATTTGAAAAATTCTTTCAGTGTTAGATAGCCCATTTATCGAGGAAGGCTATAGGCTATATATCATCACGCTAACACCAATAGGAGCGGAGCACCAATGAAGAATGTTTCAAAAACGGAGAAAATTTATTACTATTGAGAGACGCAGACGAAGTTGCGCGGGTCAGCTAGTTACAAATATGTAAGCTTTATTGGGTAAGTCTAATATAAAATAATTAATTGGCGTAATCCGTCGTTGCAGAATTGAAGTGGATTCAAATAAAAGACTGCGATCACAAGTATGAGCGTGGAGGATAGCGGACCGAGTGCGATACGGGGATGGGGCTGTACTCCTACCGGCGACCCACCACCAGCGGCTGCTGTCTCTTCAGATGCCAATACTAGAAGAGGATGTCTACCAAGAATATTTACCGCAGGATGGAGAAGAACCGCATTGTATGGAATACTTGTATTCCTTATGCTTTTAGTATTCCTAAACATCGGGTTGACTTTGTGGATTATTGGAGCCTTAAAATTGAGCATGGTAAGAAATTTCAAGAAATAAAAAAAGAATAGCAGCATAGCACATAGTTAGTAACAAAAATTATTTTAAATATAAATTGAGTTTCTAGGTGAGTCGTATTAGCTAGGTTATATTTTTATTTGACCGCGAGAGGTATCGTTATCCGCAACCACAGGTGACGATAACCGTTTACGACGATTAGAAGGCTTTTGTTACTTTTCGTCCCAGTAATTTAAAAAGATGCATGTGTAAAAATTTATATTTTTCAGAACGGAGTGGGACCTATTAGAATAGTAAGAAATGGCATCCAGTTAGAGGGCCAAGCGTGGGTGGTTGACAATCTTGTGGCTGCCAGAATAACGTCTCAACTTGGTCAGCCCATAACGTTACACTCACACCGCAATTTCACTGTAAAAGTTGCTGAACCAGACCACATCGAACATTCAAAGCTTTTTATAAGTTAGTACCTTATAACACAAGTACTAAAAATTGCAATACCTATTTTTAAAAGTATTTATTTAAGTCAGGGCACTTGAAACTTTCATTCGTTATTTTTGCATTGCTACACTTGGTAGCCAATTTCAAAGTCACCTCCTAACTTTTATTAAATAGATAAACACATTATTCAAAATCAGAAAGTTCAATTAAGCAATGTTCATGATCTTTTTATCTTCTTCTTATATTGTAGAACGAGATAGCATCGAGTTTAGTGGACGTGTCCTAAACGTGCGTGATGCTCGTGGAGAGAGTGTATTTACGGCAGCGCGTGATGAAGTGCGCGTATTCGCCGATGCATTGGCAGTAGACGGACCTGGTGGCTTAAACGTGCGCAGTGCAGTGCAAGTTCCACACGTCCATGCGCCACCAGCTTCTAATTTAACGTTAGTAGTTTATTCTCCTCCTCCTTATTTAGATTATTATTCTATGTGTTTAGTTTAGAAAACTAACGTACGTAAAGCTCGGTCTCTCAAAAGCATACTTTTTTAACATCGAATTTACCTGGCTCAGGTAGTAACAACAGGTATCAAAAGTTTAAATAATTTGCTTGAAACTAATGTAATTATACCAACTTACATTTGCTCAAGTTTTACATTATGAATCCTTTGTTCCTCATTATGTTTTACTATCCTTTTAATAAAAATGTACTCGTGATGTATATATTTACGCTATTGGTCTATGGGTTAGTGGCCCTGACTGGTAAGCCGGAGGTCGTGGGTTCGATTCCCACCCAGGACAAATATTGTGTGATGAGCTCGGTCATTTGTTCTGTGTCTGGGTGTAATTTATCTATAATATGTATGTATTTAAAAATATAGAAGCCGTACCGGCCGTGTGTGGGATGTGTGAAATAATTATTATATTAAGTTATGGGTATTATTATTTAATTCATATCTTTCAAATTTAAAGGTCTCTGTTTCAGAACTATACTTACATTTATTTGTTAATTTAAGGTTAGAGTCCCTTACAAGGCGCCTGGATTTAAAAGCACCTCAGTCTATATATCTTGAAAGCAGAGCGGGAAGTATCGACATAACTTCTCACAGCAATATTAAACTCAACTCAATTGTCGGTGCGGTGAGTGATCTCCTGTATTTTAGTACGCAACCACAAAAAGCAAAACTAATTAATCGGTGCGAGCTCGATTATCTTCAATTCTAAATATTTTCATAATTTGTTTCTGATATCCAAGCTCTGTTGTTGAGCTTCAATACAACTAATGCATCGCTCGATACAAATTTGACGTGATCACTTACACCAGACTGTTTCGAAGATGAAACGAGTTCAATTTAAAATAGTATTTTACAATTTGGCGTTCGGAAACAACCGAAGCAAGTTTTAAAATTGGTTTTCAATTAGTAGTTGTCGTTTTGTTGTACTTTATAAAATAAAAAAACAACCAACAACATATTTACACAAAAATATTGTGTGTGAAATAGCAAAATAGCAAAATTACTAATGTTTAATCGACATATCAAATTTACTTAATTTAATATTTAGCTTAATTTTTTTTTCTATATTATTTCATTGCAATAAGTTCATTGATTGTTAGATTAGGGTTGATTATAAACAATTTTAAATCACAAATAAAAAGAATAACTATATCAAATAGGGGACTTACAGTTACGTACATTAATGTAGAGTTATTTAAAGACAGATGCGATGCATTAATGCCATTAACAGACGTTATTTACATTGGACATAAAAGCAATATTTCTACTAAATGTCAGATTAAATAGAGAAATAGAGAAATTAAATTGGATTAAATAGAGAATTCCACTATTATAAAGCTGTCATATAAGAACCATACTCGAATCAAAATATACTATAATCGCGTTCCTGTAATAACTGTGTTCTATAATCCTGATATCATTAAATCTCATATCTATCTATATAAAAATGTTAATTTGGTTCGTATAGGTTTCAAATCTCAAAAAGTTCTGCATCGACTATTTGAAACGATATACAACCCGCAAAGACAGACACTATTTTTCGTGTCAGTTTTGTTCTTCATTTCTCCACAGCAAAGCGTGACAGGATACAGTTAGTGTAGCTTTAAAATCATAACTTATTTGTTTATTGATTTATTAGGTCAACTCACAGCATATATATATATGTAACATTTATGGTAAAATCCAAGTAATAAGGTTCTGATATACATGCCACTTACGAGCTAACACAGCATTCACAGTTTAGACAACATATTAACAAAATCACATTGATATATATAGGTATTACAAACTTAACTTATAATCATCATCTTCTGATTTACAGATTAAATTCGATGCTTCAAACATAATAATCAATCATTTGAAAGAAGCTCTTCCAACGGACAAGCCGCAGAAAAACTTGCGAAATACCAAAGTATTCCAGCTTTGTGCTTGTGCGACAGGGAAGCTCTTCTTGGCGGCACCAGAGGCGCCTTGTGCTGTTGATGATGACGACACTGAATTTTGCCGATGATAGTTAACACTCTCACACCTAGTCAATTCAAACCATAGTGCCAAAAAGATTATTGATATCTTGAAAATTTTTATGCATAAATATAACCAACTTAAGATAGCACACTAATGAAGAGATTTATAAATATTTTAATATTTTCTTTTGCAAGTATAGGAAAAATTGTGATGTTGTCTAAAACGTTCAACATCTTGTAGCTTCATTCCATCTTCTTAGAACATACTAGTAAGCATCCAGTGTATCTCCCTCCCGTGAAATGAAAATTAAATGTTATAAGGAAGAATAAGGACAAAATGTAGGCCAGAACCTCCTTTCTAAGGATAAGCTTATGTCCAGCAGTGGACTATTATATGCTGTTAATGAAAATGAAGGACATTTTCGATATTTATTAAAATGAAATCGTAACAAAACACACTGTTTAATTCTCTTATATAAATTTTTGTAGTTCTTTATTATTGAAAGTAACATTTTTTACTTATAAGCTTTAGACAATTAGCAACTCGGTGAGGAAAGTGTGTGCAAAGAAAATCTTCTAATAATACATACAATGGTCGAAACCTAAATGATAACTATAGTCCATCTAATCTAAGAGGTACCGTTTGACAGTACTGACAGATTGAAGAATAGGAATACTACAATATCCGATTTTCAGGAGATTTCGATATCATTTCTTTATATTTACTAATCGATTACAGTTTTACAAAAATATGTATGTCACTGTAAAACCCCATATACTATTATATCTTAGGTTTACTAGTAAATTTTAATGTATAAACGTGTGTAGGTAAATATCAAAAAGAGCGAAATAAATTTTCGGTCTCTTCAGTTCCATCCTACCCCGATTTAAAAAAAAAATTGTTTTTCGTTCAGACTTGGTCATAAAAAAAATTATCTACAAAGATTAATTTAAAAATTACATTAACTTATATACTTTTCATTTAATATATGTATGCGTTTTCGCTGACAGTTGGACGTCAGCTGAAATTTAAGTATTATTAAATCCTAAAAGACGCCTGGATTGAAAACGGCTCGTTATTTCGATTGTTCCTACATTCTTACGATTAGTCGTATACAAGTGAATTTGAAGAGTTGCAACACTACGGTAAAGGACCCTACTACGTAACTTTGAAACGAAGTCTTAAAAATCGTTTTGTTTTATTTAAAAGATTAATATTTAGGTTTTGTAATTAAGAATTATACATCTTGTGATAAAATAAAAATAGCCTCATAATTCCATGGTTTTATCGAAAACGTTATTAAAATTGTGTGAGTTACGCCTATACAAAGTTGTTTCATCTTGAAAAATATGAAATGTCAAACGGTACCTTTTAGATCAGATGGACTATAAACTTCATGATATGATATGAAGAAGTGTAACTTAATTGTTAGCCATTAATGAGTTTTTAAAGTTGTGTAACGTCCAATATGCAAATTTCTCACTGATTCCAGATAAATGATAATAATCTTCCTGTATTGATCCCAGTTAGTTAACTAGGAGTCCGAAATGCAGTCTCATATTCTGTGTTTCTGCGTATCAACTTAAACGTTCCCAATCCGGCAGTTATATTTCTAATTAGACTTAATACCTTTGTTCTATCACATCGTATAGTGCCGCAATCAAACTATAAATAAACCTAGAATAAAATGGATCGTATAAATAATGTAAACAGTAGTGAAACCAGAGTTAAAAACACTATTTTCTTTAGCGCCGTTTTAGAAAGTTATTATAACCTACTATGAAAAGTGATTTGGTGTAAATACATAATGAGTATTACGTTCCCATATTTTGAAAAATAATAATTGTCATTTTAAAAAATATTATCATATATTGTATAATGATTATGTACCTAATTAGTACACCAATATTTTATGTATCTCGTTTATTGTTTTTATAAATGTAAAGTATATAATTAAATTGTTGAACACTTTGCACACTGGAATTTAAAAATGTATGAAATTATATAAAAATTAAAATTAGGATGACTTATAAATTAGAGTTTTTATAACCTATAAATTAATGTTTTTAGCACATTTAAAGGATCACTTTCTCGATGGAATCAATATGCTATTTGCGTCATAAAGGTGAATCGATTTACGTATATATTTTATGGCTAGTGCTTTGGTCGAAAATTACACCTACTAATGTACTACATTTATTTTCTTGAGAAGCTTTGTAGTTGTCAGTGTTAAAATTAGTTTGCAAATAGAAAAGACTACGATTATTAAATATATATTTTTTATTAGTTTCTACAAAAATCGTTTCTACATAATATCATAGCCATATTAAGCCACATTTTGAAGTCGCCGTCGAGTTCGGAGTTCCGTTTGGTCATGTATTGGTTTATTTGTTTATCAATATTTAAAAGTACAAATTATGTTTAGTTTAGTCCAAAAAGCGCTATATATAGTGAGCCGAAATAGTATTATTATAGGTCATTATCGTTAAGCAGGCAACTTAGACTGTGTTCTCCAGCAATAGAACTATATATCACGGATCTAAGTATCTTAATTGTACACAAACTTACTTACTTACATACGCTGAAATATTTACTAACAACTTACTAAATTTAGTCTCGAAGCGGCGTTAACACAGTTACTAAATACATGTGGCTCCGAACTTACTCGGAAATTCTTTTTCGTATTACGAGTTACTTAATTTTACAGCAATCTTTGTGATACAAATTGTATATACTGTATTGTATTATATACTTATGAGTAGCCGCCTTATTTATATAAATATAGTGAAGGTACTGACTTGTTCTTAGAAGTAAGAAAAATGTATTTATATGTTTTAATTTCACACCAAATTGTAAGTCAATAATAGAAACGGGTAATTGTTTTATTTTAATATATAAGATAAAATACATGTTCGTGTGTTATTATTACATCTTTTTGTATTGCGGACACCACCATCTTACTAATTGTAACAAGGTAGTTAACACTCTACGCTAAGTGACGTAAGGGACATCTCGATTTAATTAAGAAATCACATAACTGACTTCGAATTAATAAGGACGACAATGGTCCAAATTTAGTACGTTGAAAACAGATGATGGTTTAGTAAGTTGTTTATCATCAAAGGGTCTAATTATTAATTTATATCTAAAAACTTATTCTTTAAAACAGTTTACACTTAAATAATAATGTATATTTGATATACTGATTGTTGTATCTGTACAGTAGTTGTGCCATGTTCAAAAGTCTTAACTTGTAAGAATGAGATAAAATTTAATGTTAATGGAGGACGCATAAACGATAGTCGTTTTCCCACGCAGGATTGTCCCCGACGCGGGTCTGCAACAGATTGCTTTCTAAAGAATTTAACGTCTTTTAGTTAAAAATTTACACTGTACTCGATAAGTATGGCATTTCAAAAGTTAGACAGAGATATTAAACTAATATTACTGTAAAACATAAATATGAAATAGATTTGACTATGAAGTAAGGGTAAGAGTAGGAATACACCTGCAACTTAATACACATATTACAAACATATTTGTCATATTATGGATATATCATAATAAGTAATGAAAGACTAACTGCAAAAAATATTATATCCGACGAAACTGTTTTAAGAATAGGGGAAGATAAGATTTATGGATTGTGTAAAAATGACATAACTAGGAAGGCTGATGGCAATGTGTAGTAGATATATTTTGCAAACCTATAAAATTGTGATATGGTCAAGAAGACAATAATGATTTTATAATTGAGCGTTCCTGACTAAATATTTAAATTTATTTAACGTAGCAAATTAGTATTTTCTACTAATTACCTACGAAATAATCAATAGAATTAAAGTTGAATTTGAGTTTAACCATAAATGTCAAAATAATAAATGCACTCAAAAATCACAGTACATTGGGATGTCTGTTTACTCCGGTAATTGGGAAATACGAATATAGGATTAGGACACATCAGTAATTCTCAAATAGTCCGGAATAAAATCCCCAACGAGTGATTAGTGTTGTAGATATCGGGGCTGTTGAGACGCGCGGGAATCATGGTTGATACCACACGCCTCGTCAGTAATTAGAGTTAGCCACCGACCGCGGCTCACCACTTACACCGGCCACCCTAATTGAAACCGCAACGACAACGTTTTGTTGCCGCTTTTTTTATGGACCGTTAACGAGAGCTAACATTAGGAATTGCATCCTTAGATTTTTTTACAGATTTGATACCCTTATTTAGTCGTCGTAGCGATCATTACCTGATTTCTGTTGCATTTATGAGTTAGTTACTATAAAAAAGTATCTTGAGGTTTTCATTGGAGGAATAACGTATGGGGTTCTTCGATAAAGTAGTATTTAGTATAAGTGTTTTAATATGCCTGATAATGCCTACGCAAGGCTTCAAGATTCGTAAGCTACGGTAATTTTTTAATATCAGGACGCCCTGTGAACAATGTTAATGTTTTGCACTAGTATAAAATGATTGTATTCTGAGAAAAAAAAAACTACACGTTTTATATACTTATCATACCACCTACCAGCAGTTGTATACAACAAATCTATAGAGGAGAATGGAATTAAAGCCAAATCACACTTCCATGTTAGCTTGTATAAGTACGAAGTTAACTATATACGAGTAGAACACACAAAGTAGTCCCATTCAGAAACACAAAATACATAGTAGTCAAATGCTAATAAAAATACACTACTTCGTAAATTAGTTCTAATACTCTCTAACACCATTTACAATTCTAGGACTGCTAAAATTGCCGCCATCCAAAACATAGTATCGATGCTTCTACGCATGTTATATGTATGTATATAATATTGAACAAACAATATCCCGATGGCCATAACCAAAAGAAAATCAGCTTGTCTCGGAATACACTCGTTGAAACTGAATTTTATTTGTTTGCTTTATCTTCAGAGTAACATAAAAGAGCTGTGAACTGTCACGTTTATTTCACGACACTTTTTTTACTTACGACTCAATAAACAAAAACAATCGAGTACAAATATTTGTATACTTCTGATTTTTGTTTGTTTATC